ACCGTGTGACCCCAGAGATGCAACAAAACATTTGTCACACAATAACAAGAGTCAAGGAATTTGTTATAAAATAAAATATTTCACGTTTCAGCTTTAAAGTCCCAAATGCCATTACAAATGTAAACACAGCACCATCTGAAAATGACTTAACAGTGAGCCAATAAGTATGTAATGTAAAAATAAAACAGGTATTTCAAGTTTATACTTTGTTTTCACCCAGAACAGTACGTCTTCAAACTAAAACAGTTGTGTCAATGTCTAAAAATTGAGCACATTTTAAATATATATGAAACAGGAACACATGAAAAAAGACTGGAAACAGCTGAGAACTAGAAACTAGAGTAACTGCTTATATTAATAACAGATACAGTTGTGATGGAAAATTGGGGATTTTTCTTTTCCAGAAACCTTATTGTGAAAGTATTTTATATACTTCGTGGATAGAGAGTGATGACAGACACTTTCTTTGGTCTCCTATCTCTAATATTTACACACTTTTGTTTTGTGATTCAATGAAGAAGGAACAATGACTGCAGCTCATTATGTGTTTGCACTCCTCTCTGGAGCCCGGCTAATCTGTGAAGGCCATGCCGTCACCGGTAGCACAACACTGTATCACATACACCTACATAAACAAAGTAGAAGAACAGAGGACATTTTGACCCAAGCCAGGATGAAGAATAAGGGAGAGGACACAGACAGGAAGGAGGTTATTGACCCAAACTCTGAAAACAGATATCTGCAAAGGAGTCAAGGAAAGGTTCCAACTCACTAACTGGGAGTTTGAGAGAATTGGTTGAGGAAGGTAAAGGGCCTATTGAGTGCCGAATTATCATTCTCTGGCACCTAATCAAAGGGATTAAAGCTTGGAAGCCAAGCCTGACAGAAGCCTGTACCCAAAGGTACAGGAAGTAAACTGAACAGTTATCAAAAACAGCAAACTTCAAAGTGGACCAATTTTTCCATATTAGGAGCCTTCAGGCTTTATTCAGTTTTTAGAACGATGTGCCTGTATGCTTGAAGAGAGGGAGTACTGGGTGATCTGCACTGGCCTGAAATTAAATTAAACAACAGGCGAGTCAAAATGAAGCTTAAATAAGTCACAGTAATGACTGAGGCCAAGCTGTTCATACACACGAGCATTAGGTAGAAGACCGGTCTGTAATTTTGTAATATTTTCTATACATTTACAACCGTTTGTGTGGGTTTGTGTACGGGATCACGGGTTAGAAGATTCAATTGCAATACAATAACACAGCTTCTCTCCGCTGAAATCAGTATCATGTATGTACTAATATCAGCAGGTATTTATAGAGTGTGTTATCAGTATACACTAATGTTGTTCGGTTAAGTGGTTTCAAGTTTGGGATTAAGGTTCTCATGCAAAGAACACGTCTTGAAAGTGCTGTGAAGTGTTGATACTAAAACATGTAAACACAGCCTTGATCACTACCTTCTGTTCACGTGTGAGACACCACTGCATATATGCAAATATAGAAACGCTTTCACATTGGATCACTGTGTTTTGAATCAGTCACTGTGGAATTCAAACTTTTTTTTTCTTGAGTACTACAGAGATCATATTTGTGAAAACAATAATGATAACAGATCCACACAACAGGGATGTGAGCCTGGGAGTTTGAAACATTTGAAATGTGTCAGACATTAACACCACAGTGGGCAAATACCTCAATGCACAAGTTGTGACCCCGGCCAAACTCCAAAGTCTAACAGCTAAACATGCTGAAAAACAATCTTCAGGTTCTGTGGTCCATATGTGTTTTATCACACATTTAGCATTACGTTTCTAACCTGCCAGATTCCTGGTGTGGCTTCACTAGACAGAGCCCATCTGTGCAGCATTAGGACCATTGGAAGCAGATGGGCCTTTAATTGTATTTTGGTCTGATTTGCAAAATAGCTACTTGGGAAAGAAGCTAAAATAACATACAAACAACAGCAACTATGATAACATCTGTGCCTGGAATGAAATGAGTACAGTGAAAGATCAAAAACACAAGGCATACAAATTCAGCTTTGCTCTTTGAAAGGAGATCTCTCCTCCAACATTACCAGCCCAGTATTGATTTACTCTGCAATTTCATGTATCTATCTCTCCCCACGCCAGCTCCACAATCTCTGTTGAGCAGCAGGTCAGGAATATAGCACTCATCAGATTTTCCAAAACATAAAAGATTGATTCCTTGCTTCTTTTCAGACAAAAGAATAATTGAGAAAAGGCTGAAATTGGTATTTGGAGAAAGAAGCACTAACACTAAAAGTAGATACTCAGGGTCCCAGAGGTAGTTTAATAAACCGTAATGGGAAAATGGAGGAGGGACAGAATTTTTGTGATGAAAAATCTGTAGCTTGTAAAAAAAAACAAAAACATTCTGCCTGAATTTTGGTTTCCACTAGTTCCTGTTTAACATTAAACACCTCAAATGCATGAGATTCAGACTCAGAAAACCTTATTTATGTATTTGGGGCCTTTGACAGAGTAGTAAAAAACATTTGTAAGGCCAGGAAAGTGCCAAGGATGGTGGAGTCTCCATCACTGTCATTCATCCTTTTTATAATATTATAACTACTACAAGATGAACTATGACATGGTGTTTTTAAAAACAATGTGTCAAACAATGTGTGTAAATTCAGCTTTTCCACTTCAAATACCTCGGGTTTAAAAGTCATGGGACTGCTCTCTCAGGCTTTTGAACACATTTATCCAGAAATCCTACTGTAAAAAGGTGGAGATTCAACATAAAATATATAATGTAAAATAATTTCTTCTCTTTGAATAAAACAGAATTTGACAAAATATTCTTTGGATTTTCATTAGGCTTCTTTGAAATCATTCCCTCACAGGTGTGGAGGAAATCAAGTTGCTAAAATGACTTATATTCAGGAGATATAACATAAGGCCAATATATGTCAGGAAATGAAATTAGTGTTAGCTTATGGTATGGCTCATGCCTTCCTGGCCATTAAAGGAGTAATAAATGTGTAATAAAGCTCTTACAAGCCCCTAAGGCTATCAGGGGGCTGAGCTGCAGAGCTGTTTACGAGATTGTTTATTACAAGACGGGCTTATCATCATTTACCACGCAGAGGTGGCTAAAACCAACTCCATAAATACGGGATTCACTGGTGCTAAGCCAAGTTAAATATGGCTGCCATAACAGCAGTATATGAATTGTCACTAATGTATCCAGTGGCAAGGTGAGGAAGGGAGAGAACTCGTCTTCTCTGAGGAGAGGAGCAGGGGGAGAGGAGGCAAGAGGGCAGGGTGACTAGCAGGTGGCTTCATATTGTCTCTATCCACTACATGTGTCGCATCCACTGCCAAACTGACAGGTAGGGACACAATGTGTTGACCCGAGGGCCTGTTAGAGACCTGCAAGTGGATAAATATAGAGCAGTGGGAGAGTGTGGTGTCTTAAATGACAGATCTAATGATGCTCACCCACTGCAGCCTATTCCTCCCGTGGAGCAGGGGAGGCTTATGAGAACACAACAGTTGGTTGTTGGCTATGCCACAGCCATTGATATCAGCTCAACGTTTCTTCCATTGTATCTTTATTGTGAATTGACCATCACACTTTCATCTTCCTATGGCAGCTGCATTAACAGTCACGAATAGGAAAGCCTCACCTTGAGCCCATCAAGCTGCGTATGAGTTCATTTGCATATGAGAAAACATTTTCTAAAGGTCTGTCTGTGACGTAGCTGATCCTTTTCTACGTGTTTACTGCAACAGCCGTACTCCTCCTCTGACAATACGTGAGACATCCCGGGTTTGAATAATTCAGCCACTCATCTCTTCCACGGCACAGCATTTAACAAACACATATGCACGTTCACGTACAAAAAAAAGACGGAGTGGTCTACAAGAATGCAACAAGAACGTCTCTGTCAGTCCCTTTGGAGAGGTGGGAATCCTATTACCTAGACGTCAGAATCTGTCGGACGCCTCTCCCCGTGCCGAGCCCGCTTTGTTAGAGGGGAATACGATGTACTACACTAGTCCATTTAACAGACGCCTGCTCTGTGTACTTTAATGGGCCGGGGCCTTGAGCGTCAACACAGGAGAAAACACAGTTCAATTTCCTTCTCACCAGTGTATAAAACCAGCACCTTCACTGTAGCAGCCACATGCATAATTCACTGCCGGTGATGTGTGTGTTAAATGTTGTTGAAATATACATGCTTCATATGCAAATTTGGCAGTGCTCTCACTCGCTGTTCTTGCTAAACAGACAACACGAGAGCAGCGTGCACACTGAAAGGCCCTTCTGGACCTCAGTCAGTAAATGTATAATACAGTAGGTAGATGTTTGTGCTGGTGTTGAGAGCTTGTTAGCTACTGCAGGCCCTGAGTGTGTTACTGAATATGAAATGGTTGCTGTGCTTTTAATGGTCTTCAACCTCACTGAAGTATTTAAATCATGTGTGAAGAACAACATGCTGATGTGGAGTAAGGAAGAACAATCCACTGAAAGTCTTTCAAGAAAGACCAGGACTTTTCCACGTTTGGCGATTTTTATCGGGTTAGAACGTACGTAATAATTATACTTGTAACTACAAAAAAATATATAATAATAATGAAAGTATTCCATAAACTACACTCATATGGTCAAATCCTCATCATCCTAAAAGCACTGCAGCTTTAGATGATAATGCAGTGCTGTACATCAACCAGCATGTATGTGTGTATCTGTGTGAGAGGTAAAGGATGGACAGTGGGGGGTGGGATTATGATGAGGAAGGAGGAGCAGAGGGTAGGCTGGTGGTGTCAAATTTTATAAATGTTTATAAATGAGACAGGAAATGTCTTTATCCCAGGATTGGACCCCCCCCCCCCCCCCCCCCCCCCCCCCCCCCCCCCCCCCCCCCCCCCCCCCCCCCCCCCCCCCCCCCCCCCCCCCCCCCCCCCCCCCCCCCCCCCCCCCCCCCCCCCCCCCCCCCCCCCCCCCCCCCCCCTCTTACCCCCCCCCATCGCTTTCCTTATCAATCCTATTCCAGTGTGTGTGTGTGTGTGTGTGTGTTGATGTAAGGCCTGGCTCAGCCTGATTCCTCAACAGGGCCTTCCCGCCAGGCTACCAGTCTGTCCCCCCCTGACGGGACAAAAGCCCATCTGACACCCCACAACCCTGCCAACACAAGCCATGGCTTGGACCCACAATCTGCTCCCCTTGTCCTGATGAAGAGAGGGAAAGAAAGAAAGAAAGAAAGAAAGAAAGAAAGAAAGAAAGAAAGAAAGAAAGAAAGAAAGAAAGAAAGAAAGAAAGAAAGAATCAGCTGTGTCCTACAGGTCACTACAGGTCATTTTAAAGATCTTTTATCTAGTTATTACAACTTAAAGTAAGCAATGGGAAAAAAAGTGACTATCTTTATTGAAAGACACTATGGGTAGAACATTTTTTGGATGGACAGGTAATACTAATAATACTAATAATCTCAAATTCTTACCATTTGCTTTTTCTCTGCAATTCACATTCATGCCGGAGGAGAGACAACAGCAACTCCACACCTGCCAGTAATTTACCAAAATAACTAAAAGTTAACATCTTCCAGAAACAACAGAGAAACAAGTCCTTATGATGAATGAGTATCTCCACAAAATAACACATATAAAAATGTAATTAAATTAAACTGTAAACATAATCATTCCCTTCTTTATACCGTCCATATAAAACCTGGCTTATTTCGATCAAATATTTTCTTCCAAAAGACTTCTGAGGCATGATCTTTTTTTATAAATTACAAATTAAATATTTTAGTTTGGTTTTATTTACTCTGTGACTATTATTTTGTTGGTGTCATGCATGTTGATATATTACATTAAAATCTAAATTAAATAGACACGACTTCCACTTTCTTATTTTTTAAATCTCTTATGTGTTCTACCAAAATCATCTGGACCTTTAGAAATAACGTGGCCCCTGGTGCACATGTGCAGCTGCCAAAACCGCGTTGCCGCTGGTGTTCACTGATGTTGAACAGTGTGTTAACAGGATGTGTAATGTGGTGTGTTGGTGCTGTGATGCAGCCAGGGCTGGGGAGGGTACAGTAGGGTGGATATCATGAAGCAGTCATGTAGCTGCTCGGCTGGGCCACTCTAATTACAGGAGAACAGCGTGCACCAGCCTGGGCCTCCAAATGGCACCATATGTTTTCCCAGACTAACCAGCTGAATAAATGCCACTTACCCATTCAGGATGCACTGTGCTCTATGTCTGGGAATCAGTCACTCACACTCATATGAAAGCGTTCACACCCCCAAGAACACCGCTACTACCACACCTCCTACACCACATAAAACCTGACCATCAGTGATTTACCCTGCGTGTTCACCACCACGGACTCTCACACAGCTTCCTGCTTGGTTTAACTATTTACAAATCCTATTGTAAGTCTGGCTGTTTGTCTGCAACACATTTAGAAATGAAACACAGAGTTGCTGATTGTGCTGTGAGCACTTGACTTGACTAACGGGGTTTGGTTAATCAGAAACTGGGTTGCCAAAACTGTCAGGTTGTGGGTCTGATGAATTTAGTTTTGGTTCTGTCGGTGGCCCATTGTTAGCGACCCAAACTGGTGAAAAAGTGAAAAAAAATCAAAAGACTAAAAACACCAGGGGTCCTTGACTAACTGTTCCTACGGTGCGATGTAACTCCATTCTTTGCCATAATTTGGAACTCACATACATGGGCACCGACGTCACGCACCAGCGCTAACACAGTGATAACATCATAATATAGGACATAATGACAATGATAAAAGGGCAAAAAAAAAAACCCCACCCATCATAGCAGGTCTCACTACTGTCTTATAAACCGTACCTTTAAAATTGCTATCCTTCTGTCAAAATCACCTCTGATTTTCACTCTCCTCTCCTCCATTTATTCCAACCTTCATTATTTTTATAATAGATAACACATATTATTTAAATAGGGGGGCATCTACAAACATTATGTTTTTATAGCCGGCTATTTCAGCGAAAGAAAAAGATACTGTTTCCTTAGGTATCCTGAGGCACTATAAAAACGTACGACAGAATATTTTATTTCATTCTGTTCTTTAGAAAACATGTCACATCGTCTTCCTTAGTTGGGAAACACTTATTTGCCAGTCAAGGGGCAAAAGCAGCAAAATAAAACAAACATAAGTCTAAAGCATTTTCACTTGGTTTTGATGTAAATGTAATTATTTTCTTATTTGTCACTGGCTAAATTGCAATCACAACATCGCTGATAATAGGGACATAATTTCTAGTGGCTGCGAAAAAGCGACAACATTCGCTTCATGACCCCTTTTTGTGAAGACGGCTTCCAGTATCATCACTCGATAGACTCATCGCACATCATCAGCCTGTTAATGAGAAGAGCTTAGGCTGAGGCACTCACAGATGCCTATCGAGGGCAGAAAACAAAAAGGAGAATGTAAGTAAATATGGACTTTAATTAGTATGACAAGGTTGAAAAAAACAGATAACACACCACAGCAGCCCAAAGGCCTTCTCTTTCACACATGCAAACTTGCACAGCAGACACTTAGCAGTGTGATCCTGCACACACACACACTCTCTCTCACTCACACACACGAGGAACAAATCAGATGTTTTAATCAGCTTGCTGCAGCACATAATGAGCATTCACTAAGCCCTAGCTATCAGCTGCCATCGGCCACTTACTTCAAAGAGCAGATTTTTCTCTTCTTCTACAACAGGCTTAATATAGTAGCTATCAAGAGTGAACACAGTGTGTGCATGGGCAATAAAACCTGAAGAGTGTTAAGTGATGTTTCAGCAAGTGATATATATGCAGTAAAGCAAGGAAGCAATTATGTGCAAGTGGACCAGACAGCGCTGCCTATGGGGGAAACGTGTGGGAGCTGAATACACCCTATTTGTCACCACGGTGATTTACAGCACGGAATCAGAGGAGAACGGTTGTCTTAGGTCTTGGTTCCAAATCACAGGAAGGCATATAATATGCAACAGCACAGCCCATAAATCCTGCTGTACGTGCAGTGACCTTACATACCATACATAACCTGGTGACTGCTCCTCTCACAGAGAGTGTATACGATGTACCTCTCACCTTGTGACGCCGTCCCGCATGCACCTGGTTACAGATACAACTGCAGGTGTGTCAGGATTCTCAACCACCTGGGTGTGTGAGGCTGTGTGTGAGTGTGTGTATGTGCGTGTGTGGCAATAGACAGAATGTGCCGTTTCTTGCCTCCTCTGACACAGCTGACCTCTGTAAAGTGGACTCGAAGTTCCAGTCCTCCAGCTGGAGAATCGATGACCTAAGAACAATATGAGTCCACCTGTCCTTGCCTTCTCCCTGTCTACCTGCTGGGACCTGCATATGGTAATATCTAACACTATTGTAATGAATAAATACAAAGGTATTTTATTCAATGAAATGGTTAACTTTATAAAACTGACATAAAAATAAATAGCAATTCAGCATTTCACTTAAAAATTTAATTACAGAAAAATGTTTTTGGGAATACATTTTGGGAACAAAAAAAAAACCCATAAACTGCCAAACTGTCTTGGGAAAGAAGAAGAAGGTAGTACAAAATGTTTTACAATTCAATTTTTTGGAGGCTTCTCAAATAGAGGTTTGTTTCCAAGATTCTGCATCAACATATATCACATACATATCTATACCATATATATTTTTCAGAGGGCTAAGATTTTTTTGGACACTCAAATAGAATGTTTTTGTATAACATTTTTATTCCATGTTTAATTGAAACCCAGTCACGGGCCAGATTAGACGGTTTGACGGCCCAGATTCGGCAGGCGGGCCATCAGCTGATGATCACTGGTCTATACCCTTACTGTCCTACTATTTCAGATTATTATAGAACGTGGATAAACATTACCTTTAGCTTATTATTTTTTAAACTGCATCTATGTATATTATGGTGGCAGGGTGTAACATTGGGGCAGATAATGTTGCATGTATACATAAGGATAACCATGAATTTAAAAGTTAAAAAAATATTTTTTTTCATATAAAGAGTTTATATTTGTGGCAAAATGTGACATTTTAAAATATGGAAACAACACATCCACCAGCGACGTGCTGTCCAACAGAGAGTGGCTCAAACAAGCTGTCCGACCTTTGACAGAGGTTGCCGTGCACGTCAAGCGTTAAGCAAGCTAACTCGAGCCTCTGTAGCAAAACATCCGGTGCAGCTTGCCGTAAAATAAATGACGTTGTTAGCTGCAGTCTCGAAGGTGAAATGTGCTGCTGCTACAATTATTCTAATGCCAGAATGCCAGTGGTACCAAATGCTGCTGTCAACCCAGGGGTTTAATTAGTTTGGCACGTGTGCCACTTATAATCACCTGCCATTACCAGTTCTGGCTGCATCTGCTTACACGTCTGTCAGTGCCGGGCAGGCTGTGCATCTGTGTGTGCACAGTTGTGGGCGTGTAGGATGGCAGGGCGCTGACTGTATGTTTTGGCAACACAATGTAATCAAGACACAAAGGCTTCACTGGCTTTTTGTGTTACCTATAAATTTATATATAAGCACATTTATGGGAAGGACAAAAGGAGTGGGAATGCAGGTGACTTTTGTTGAGTGTATATAATAACTGACTGCAGTCAGGACAATTGTATTAGCGGTAAGGACTTGTCAGCAGTCCATCTGTACAGATGCTGTGTGAAAACAGCGGGGAGCAGGGCTTCATAGTGTCAGACTGCAGTGTGAATAGAGCTACACCTCAGGCTGAATACATCACATTGTGATTTCATGAGAGCTGGAAGAGGTGAAAGACAGAAAGAAAAAAAAAACTTCAGGGCAGCTAGTGACTCTCGACCCAAAACAGGAGAAATGGAAGTTAAAAGTGAATCATTCACTCCCCCTGGCGTAGCATTGGCTACCTTTAGGCTTGAAGTGAAGGAGGAAGAGGAGGAAGAGGAAGAGGTGGGGAAAAGGAGCCCCCCGGCCCTCACAGTCATGTGACTAAAGAGCTCAATATCTAAAGGATGGACCTCAGGCTGTGTATTTAACTACTAGGCCATGAGCTCAAGTGTGTGTGTATATGTGGGTCCAAACATTTGTGTGAATCGTTAGCAGATGATCGACACGGCGCACAGGGGATTTCCAACAGATGAATCTACAAAGTCTTACTTCAGGTTCACCTATGTCTGCCACACTGCAACAACGGACTCAGGCCATCCCTTATTACAAAGTTCAATTGGATACTAAACCAAGGCTTCAATATTGTGCTGCCTCAAAACATCTGTTGGGACTTGTGTGGCCGCACTAATTACAAATATCTGCAGTAATCCGGCACCGATAAGAGAGTCATTACTCCACCAGGCATTTATCACTGTGGGATTGATGACCCATTTCAGAGGCAGCCTTTGTACAGGGAACTGAAATCTCTGATATCCCCTTTATCCTACATCACTGCTGAAGCCATCCATTCGTCAGGAGGCAAGCTAGTTAGAAGTGTAATTAACAACTATGGACTCTGGCCCTAATAGAATTTTTGCG